GCAGCAGCACGAGGTGGACAAGCTCTACAAGGTGGAGAGCCGGCCAGCCCTCAGCACCAGCGACCAGTGAGTCCCGCAGCACCGGGGCTGCCCGCCCAGCCTGCAGCCGGCCCTGCGGCCAGGCCAGGCCAGAGGGAAGGTGGGCAGGTTGGGGGACAGGTGCCTCTTCAAGTTGTCAGCTCTGGATTTGGCTCTGCTTTGCACAGGGAGCTTCTCACTCCCCTCTGTGACCACAGGTTCTGCTTCCTCGTCCGGCCACGGATCAAGACGATGAGGTACATCGCTGGTGAGTGTGAGCAGCTGAGGGGCACTCGTCCGTCACCCGCTGTCGGTGGGAGACATCTCAGCCCCCTGCTGAGGCTCGGGGTGCAGCTGCCTCTTATGGGACATCCCATGGTGCGTGGGCTGAGGGTCAGTGCTCCGGGCTTTTGTCTGCACGGCTTTTGTCCGCAGATATTGTCAATGCTGACAAGATGTCAGGGAGGAGCAGGAAGTACAAGATTATCTTCAGCCCCCAAAAGGTCAGTTTGACTGTGCTCTGCTGCCATTTACCCCGTTGCTCTGTTTGCCAGGCCTTCGTGCCTTCCACCCCTTCTACAAACACTGAAAGTCCTTCATTTCTAACCCAGAAATGTTTAATTACAATCAAACGTTGTGATGCCTGGGAATGAGCTCCCCCACCACCACCCGCGTCAGATCTTTGCTTGCACGCTCGGGGCCTGGCTGGGCCCTGAGGGTCTCCCCTTCTCTTCCAGTTTTACGCTTGCGAGATGGTGCTGGAGGAAGAGGGAGTCTTTGGTGGTGAGTGGGGCTGTGGTGTCTGCCATTCCCCTCCCCAAGGTCTGGCTCCTGGTAGCTCTGATGCTGCAGAATCCCAGTCGAATCCCAGTACTGGGATCCCTGTGCTAGCAGGGATGGGACCGTGGGCAGGAAGCACAGGTTCCCTTGAGCCTGGCTGCTGCCTGCAGGCAGGCATGTGCACACTGCAGCATCGGCACCTCCCCTCTGTCTTCTGGGAGGAGAGTTTTATCCTGCCATGAATCCCTGGGGAAAGGCCCTATCACTCTGCTTCCCAAACCCAAAGGGCTGTTGCAATTCTTGGGGCTGTTTGTGCTGAGGGCTGGGTCACCTGTCACCTTTCCCCATCCCAAACTCAGATGTCACCTGCGATGAATGGTCCTTCTACCTGCTCCCTTTGGACGAAGACATCATCAGTATGGAGCTGCCCGAGTTCTTCCGCGACTACTTCTTGGTCAGTGGGACGATGCTGCAGGGACACTGCCTTGCAGGGTGGCAGCCCTTCCCTTGATCATCTGTTGGGCTTGGGACGGAAGAGCTTTGTTCAGAGAGCTGATGCGTGATGTCCTGCTCAGTCCCCTCAGCCCTCGCGGTGGGCCTTTGCTGTCCTGGGGTGGCTTTTGCTAGAGGCAGCTGCTCTGACAGGCTGTGATGCCTCCCCTCCTCTACACACAGCGCCCCTGTGCTGGCCCCTCTCTTCACTCACGAGCAGCTTCAGGGCATCCCGGCACATTGCTGTGCATGTTCCTCCGGGAATTGCAGAGCCCAGGGCCTGCTCCATCCCCGGTCCCTCTCCAGCCAAGTCCCACAACACGGCAGTCCTTTCGTAGCCAGCCTGCCCAGACTCGCTCCCCGACGTCTCATGGTCCCTGCAGGAGGGAGATCACCGCTGGATCAACTCCGTCGCTCGAGCCCTGCAGTTACTGAACTCCCTGTACGGACCTTTCGGCAAGGCCTATGGGATTGGCAGGTGTGCCAAGGTACGGCCCATGCTGCCGGGCTCAGCCGGTGCCCAGGGAAGCCTCTCTGGTCCCCTAAAGGGGTACAGCTCCCAGGGGATCAAACACCATCAGCCGTGTGGCATCGCGTTGCGGCAGCTGGTGTTGCATAGCCCCCCGTGCCCTGGAGGGCAAAGCATTTGTGCTCAGCCCCAGGCCCGCTGCAGCCGGTTGTCCCCGTGGGTGGCTTTGTCCCTCGCCCTGGCTGGCACACCACGGCAGCACGTGAGGGGCTGGGGCAGGCTGTGGGCTTTGGTGGGAGTCTGGGCTGCTCCCCCGGACCCTGGCACGCTCTGCCCGTCACAGATGAGCTACGAGCTGTGGCGCGACCTGGAGGAAGAGAGCGAGGGGGACAGCCAGGGCAGGAAGCCAGAGATTGGCAACGTCTTCCTCATGGACAGAGGTAGGCTGGAGCGAAGGGGGCAGCAGGCGAGCGCCTGTGCTGGCTGCAGGGAGCAGCAGGAGGTGCGGGGCAGCTGGCTGCGTGGGTCGAGGCCCGTCAGGGCTGTGGTGGGCACAGGGGGCAGGCAGGGGAGGCGCAAGGAGCGGGAGGGCAGTCTGGGCATCGGATCTCGTTGCAGACCCAGACTACGTGACAGCGCTGTGCTCCCAGATGGTGTACGAGGGGCTGGTGGACGACACCTTCCGCATCAAGTGTGGTAGGTCACAAGGGGAGGTGATGGGGCTCCGCACCCACGTAGGGAGAGTCTCTGGGGCTTGTGCCTGACACTGTCAGACCTAGGGCCTGTGTGCTCAGCCAAAGCGGTTCCCCACGGGGACAGTCCCAGTGTGGGGTGCTGCTGTCCATGAGGACAGCCCTTGGTCTGACCGAGTGGCTGGGCAGGCATCGCCAGTCTCTGCAGCCTGGTGCAGCAGGGACGCCACGTGCCGGGATGTTGCCAGTGCTGGGGCAAAGCAGCTCTTCATCCATCTTTGCAGGGAGCGTGGATTTTGGGCCAGATGTCACCTCTTCTGACAAGAGTATTAAGGTGCTGCTCAATGCCCAGGACAAAGTGAGTCCTGCTCACATGCTTCGGGGGAAGCGGGTCCCTCAATGCTCCATGCCCAGGTGGCACCGGGAGGATGCTGCGTGGGGCGTTTCCTCCCATAAGCCTGAGCACAGAGCGGCCGGGTGCTGCTGGGTCTTGGAGCACAGGTTGGGATGGGTCAGGACAAAGATAGTGGAGAAACGTCATCTGTAGGTGCAGCTCAGCTCCTGTAATCAGCAGAGTCCCTGCGCGCAGGGGTGTGTTGTGACAGCCAGTCAGAATTTTGGGGCACTGACCTCCCTGGCGGGGATACCACCTTGTCTCACTGCTGTTCAGGCTGCTGGCAAGCGTCAGCTCTGGCTGGCCAGGCCCCCTGCTGGGACAGGGGAGCGTGGGGCCCAGCACTGACTGCTGCGGTGCTCTCTGCAGGTCTTCAGCCAGATTCGGAATGAGCACTTCTCTAGTGTGTTTGGCTTCCTGAGCCAGAAGTCGCGTAACCTTCAGGCACAGTATGACGTGAGTGTTCTCCCAGTGTGTGGGATGCCCACAGTGCTGTCCCGTCACAGCCGGGTCACCTCCCCGGATGCTCTGTCTTCCACAGCGGCGCCGCGGCATGGACATCAAGCAGATGAAGAACTTTGTCTCCCAGGAACTGAAGGGACTAAAGCAAGAGCATCGCCTGCTGAGCCTGCGTAGGAACCAGGGCTGGGACGGCAGGGAGGGAGAGGCCTTTGGCCACTGCAGCGGCTGTCTGGGCTCCCAGGGGTTCAGGGGCCCTGCTGGTCCCCGGGAGGGGCAGGCGATCCCAGCGGTGGGCAGAGCAGCAGAGGCTGTTAGTTCGTCCATAGTGGTGCTGAGGGGACAAGCGGCATGCAGAGCCTGTTACTCCTCCAAAGTGGCCATCTCTCTTTGCTATGTAGATATTGGTGCCTGTGAGTCCATCATGAAAAAGAAAACCAAGCAGGACTTCCAGGAGATGATCAAGGCTGAACACTGTGAGTGGTCTTCCCTGTCCCACATCTGTTGCTACCCCCGTCCCAATCCTCGCTCCCCCACCCTCTGCTCCGACCCACGGCCTCGCTTGTCCCAGCCCTGGGCAGCCCTACACCTGGGTGCCCCCCGTATGACCACAGTCCTTCCAGACCGTTTGCACTGGGGCGGGTCTTAAGGTCCCAAATAGGGTCAAGTCTCATTCTGAGCAGGCTGGTGCGTGGTGGGGTGGGAAGCCCAGCATCACAAGCCTGCCCTCTTCACTGGGGCTCGGGGAGTGAGGCTGAGCCCGGACTCCAGCTCGGTTAGCTGGTGAGAGCCCTGGGAGTGGGCAAAGTGACGCGGTCTCTTCCTCCCCCATAGCTCTGCTGGAGGGCTTCGACATCCGTGAGAGCACCAGCTTCATAGAGGAGCACATCGACCGGCAGGTGAGACCTCGCTGAGCCGGAGGGACGGGCTGCTCCGACCACCCCGTCCCGCTGTGGGGGCTGCAGGTGTCTCACTGCCTGCTCCCACGCAGGTGTCCCCCATCGAGAGCCTGCGCCTGATGTGCCTCCTGTCCATCACGGAGAACGGTGAGGTGTCTGGCTGCGCTGGGCAGGGAGGGGCGGCACCGGGGCCCTCCAGCCTTGGCGCAGAGCTCACCCTGGTGCTCCCCACAGGTCTCATCCCCAAAGACTACCGCTCCCTGAAGACCCAGTACCTGCAGGTGAGTGGCTGGGGGCTCACAGCAGAGAAAACACTGCATCAGACAGGGCTTCCCCTCCCTGCCTGCTGCTCCCCGCGAGGCACCAGGCAGCAGCGCTCCCCAGGGATGCTCGGACTGTCTCTGCAGGACAGCCCCTGCTTCCATGGGCGCCACACAAGCCCTGAGCTCTGCCTGCCCCTGCCCTTTGCCTGCGGGGTTGCTCTATGCAGCCTCCCCGCAGAGGTGGCACCCTGCCGCCTTCCCATGCTCACAGATGGGGTTCCGCGCTGATCCGACTGTCCCCTTCCCCAGAGCTACGGGCCTGAGCACTTGCTGACCTTCCACAACCTCAAGCGCATCGGGCTGCTGACCGAGCAGTCGGCTGGAGAGACCCTGACTGCTGTGGAGAGCAAAGTCAGCAAGCTGGTGACGGACCGTGCTGCAGGTGAGAGCCAGCCTCTGCCCCACGGGTCCCCTGGGAGCCCGGGCTGTGGGGAGCCCTGGGGCAGAGACCTGCCCCGTCGGGAGCTGCTGCTTCTGAGCTGGCTGGAAGCACGTGGCAAACGTGGGTGCTGCAGGGACAGAGCACGTCCCCAGAGATGGTGCTGCAAATGGGGCAGCAGGACTGGCAGGCACCGCTGCCGGTTCTCTTCTAGAGCCAGCAGCTCTGTGCATCCCTCTCAATCCAGAGGCTCTGAGCTGTTTCTCCTTGGCTTGTTTTCCAGGAAAGATCACAGATGCATTTAATTCTTTGGCCAGGAGGAGCAATTTTCGAGCCATAAGCAAGAAACTGGGGTTGGTATGTTCTCATGGGGCTGCTGGCCTGCCACTCTGCCCATGTCCCCGCTGGTGCCAGAAGAGCTCTGGTCAGTCTGTGCCCGTGCCTGGCTCTCCAGGCTGGGTACCCCTAAAGACACGCACTGCATGGGGCCAGAGCTGCTGCCTCCACCCCAGGCAGCAGAGGGGCTTCTCCCCTGGACAGGGGGACACTGGGGGCTTCCCGGTCGGTCCCGGCACTCCGGCCACGTGGCGGCTGGGGCTCACCTCACCCCCTGCGAACGCTGCGGCCCCACTCCAGGACTGGTGCTGGCTGCGTGCAGCAGCCTGGGCACTGGGGGACGCAACTCCGTGGTCTCAGTCCACGGAAGAGGTGACATGTCCATCCCTGGCCCTCTGACGCACAGCCCGCACGGGCTGTGTATTTGGGCATGGGGTGGCAGGGCAGGAGGTGGGGGCAGAGGTTTGCTCTGAGCATCTGTCCCTATCCACCTGCACCTCTGGGGGCGTCGGTGAAGCCCTGAGCAGGCTGGTCCTGTACCTGGAGTATCACGTGTCTCTGCAGATCCCCCGGGTGGACGGAGAGTACGACCTGAAGATGCCTCGGGACATGGCTTATGTGTTCAGCGGCGCCTACGTCCCCCTAAGCTGCAAGATCATTGAGCAGGTGGGGCCACCTGTCGCTGGGGAGCGCAAAATGTGTCTCCCCGAGCCCCGGCCCCCTTTTGGGGGGGTTGGCAGGGGTCCCTCTGCCAGGGGCTGCGGCTGGCAG